AGGAGGAGAGGAAGGAAGAGAAGAGAAGGAGGAGAGGAAGGAAGAGAAGGAGGAGAGGAAGGGAAGAAGGACAGGAAGGAGGAGGAGAAGGAGGCAGGAGCGGGAGGAGAGGGAGGGAGGAGGGGGATCAGGGAAGGGAGGGAGGAGAGGAGGAAGGAAGAGGAGGGAGAGGAGAGGGAAGGAGGAGAGGAGGGAGAAGGAGAAGAGGAGGGAGAAGAGGAGGGAGGAAGGAGAAGAGGGAGAAGGAGAGGAAGAGGAGGAGGAAAGAGGAGGAGGGAGAAGAGGAGGAAGATGGAAAGGAATGGAGAAAGAGGAAAGAGAAAAGGAAAGGAACACGGAAAGGAAAAGGAAGGATTCGGAAACGGGAAGGAAGAGAAGAGGGTGAAGAAAGAACACAATGAAAAAAGTGATTGCCACGCAAAAAAAGACAGCTCACATGCAAATGGCCCTCTAAGCAGAAAACAATGAACATCATCTGCGCGACAATCCCGGAAGCCTCTTCATGCGACATTGCCAGCAACCTCCAGTCTCCAGTGACAGGGATATGGCTGTGCTTAGCAACGTTTTGTCGTGCGTGCTCCCAGCCGGCCGGTGTTTCTTTAGGATGCTCATCTCCTGCCTTTTTTCTTTCTTTTCCATACAGACCGCCGGACTGTGCAGGTATGTTTTGCGTCCTTCCGTTTTTCTCCTCGCTTCTTCCTTCACGTTTGTTCCGATCTCGACTGTGCAGGAAAGGAGGAGAAAAAAAGGAAGAAGGACGCAAAGGCATCAAGAAAGGAGACAGGAAAAAGGATCACACAGGCAGAACCGAAGAAAACGACAAAAAAATAAAAAAAACAATGCAGAAATTGGCATGGCGTGAGCCAGTGGGACTAAGCCTGTGAAGACCAACATAAGCATGCCAAAGCCAGCAAGTGCAGCTCGAATCCGCTGCCCCTTTTCTTTTCTCATCTGCCCATGAACGCTGCCCAGCTGTCCACCTCAAGAGAGGTACCAACTTGGTTGTGGGTGCGGGAAAGCATCCAGGCAACACAAGTGATGAAGCAACACTGCCGGAAAAGAGTTTAAAAAATTAGATGATGAAAAAACGGCCTCTGCAGCTCGGATGGCGGCGCTGTGAACACTGCCAGCAGTGTAGATGCCTCACTCGGTCAAACGATTCGTCGAACGATGAGGCCGTTTGAGTGGGACCAGCGGATGCTGGGCCCTCAGCTGCGCGTTGGGCTCAATGCCAAAGCTTCGTCAGTGGACTGCGACACCAATGAAACCTCCTCATTGGAACTCTCAGCGTTCATGCAATATGCACTGCAAACGCAAACATGGCCAAATCAAGAGTGCTCAAATTCTTCCAAGCAACAGTGGTTCTCTCTGCTGCAGACTCCGACACCAACCACAAGCCACGTTCCAGCGGCACGCTGCAGTGGCTGTTGCGTTCATGGCCTTGCGAGGCACTGCCGGCACTTTGTGGAATGCTGCTAACCAATCGATACCTCGGTTGCGTGTGCAGTCCACTGCGCGGAAATGTGGTCTTCAACATACTTCACCATGCTTTTTGCCGTTCAGGGCGCTCCAGCTCAATGTATCTACCTTGGCCGTTGCGTGTGGCTTAGAGCTTCGGCATTTGTCAAGAAGTGTAAATCTGAAGTAGTGTCATGCTGTCCTTCAGTGTTCATCTCTTAAGCAAAATGAATGAAACCAAAAAGCAGGGCGAGTCTGTTGCACATCCTTCATCACTCCCACCGCTCACTACACCACTGAGATCCAGCCACATCCTTGTTTGCTCGGGGACTCAAGGTATGTTCCGCGATGACTGACAATCCGACACAAAACCAGCCATAAGACTCCAACGGAGTGGTAGAGAACCACAATGAGCCCTCCTGCTGCAGCGGAATGACTTGGCCCTCCACAAGAATGCATCCACGACAGTGAATGGTGTCAATGCCTGGCGCATGAGCCGCATTCAGCTGCAAAGGCTTGAGTTCCTTTAGGCTGGTCAAGCTCTGTCAAGCTTTCAGTAAGAGATATTCCGGCATTGAACTCATGAAACTGATGCAGTCAAGGTACACAGATTCTCCCAGCGACCTTCTCCGCGGACTTCGAAAAGCAATCCCATGGAGAGTCCGTTGGTTCTGCGTTGTTGCAATTGTGCTTCTTGGGTGTCAGTCTCTGTTGGCTTGCTCGAGTCACTAAGAGTGCCAGAGGATACCTCAAGCACGTGCGCGAGGGTCCAGTCATATCAAACTTTCCGTCCAACTCTGAGCTCTGTGTATGCCAAACCAAAGTGCCAACGTGTTGCAGTCTGTGGGAAGAGTCGTGAAACTCGACCAAAGCCCACATGAAAGGATTGCGCAAGTGAGGAATGACCTGCAACATGGTGAAAGCTGAGGTCATATGCAAACCACACAGTAAGATACCACAGAAGTACTTCAACAAACCTTGGGAGACCCCTCTCCAAGCAAGCCACTGTCGTCCTGTCGCAAAGAGCGCCCATTTCTCGCCCTCCACGTCCTGGGACACCATCGCGGGAAGGAAAAACCATCGCTCTGCCGCCGAGCACCTCCAATCCACAGTGGAACCTTGGCCAGGGCAAAAGGTGATTGAGTAATGAATCGGTGTGTGTGTGATGTCAAAACATGTTTAGTTATCATCGGAATGAAAGAGGTGCCATAGGGAACATCGCAAGCTGAGCTTGCCGGCAGATGTGTCGGTTCTGCCAGCTGTACACAGCTGCATTGACACAGCCTCGAAAAACCCACGGACCAGTGAGAAAGCATCTCTTGATTCTCGCGCTATCAGGTGCACATGCTCCGTGTGATTAGTGTGTGAGGATCGCAGTGTACTGGTTCCAAAATATTGCACTGCTTGCTAAAGAAAAATGTTGATAACTCTTTTCTAGGTCCCTCGTGGTCCCTTGCCATTGCTGTAGACCGCAATCGTAGCAACGTGCCGGAACCTCAATGAAAGAGGCTCGGCATTTTGACTGCAGTGGAAAGGAAAAACAAAGACAGGCAGGGAGGAAGCACAAAGTGCCAACCACCAAGACCTGACCAGTTTGGGTGCCCGGCCAATCTTTCGGAGCGAGGCCAACATAAAGCAGCCACTGTGGGAAGACCTCGCCACAGCCACCCCGGCGCACTATTTGAGTTTGGAAGCAACATGCCATGCCGCCGGTCTGTTCCGGTATTGCTGAGCTTTTTGCTCAACCTATTGCCGCTTATCGCCCTGCTTGTGAGACTACAAACGCTACGTAGAAGACTTCAAGGCGCATGGAAAGAGTCTATTGCACAGCTTACTCAGTGAGAAGCCGTGATGAGGAAGCTGCAGGGGAAGGCCAAGGCTCGTTGAGACGCTCTCCTTGAACATGAAACAACAGGAAAGGACTCAAAGGATGCGAAATGACACAACATGTAATTATGTGTCATCCAACCTACTCGCTATGGCGTCCAACCTAATAGCGATGGCCTCCAACCCAATAGCGATGGCCTCCAACCTAATAGCGATGGCCTCCAACCTACTAGTGATGGCCTCCAACTTACTAGCGATGGCCTCGAACCAAAATGTGTCATCCAATGTTATCCAATGTGCTACTGTAGTCTCCAAGAGTACTGTAGTCTCCTGACCACTGCGCTGGGAGAAGGTGTCCACAGAACTGCAAGGATGGAGATCAAATACATCAAAAACCTCGTTACACGTCGTTACACCATCTCATGAAGCATGAGGATTATGTATTGTGCAGTCCATTGCCCACCAGTCCCCATAACGTTGGGAGGCTTCAGCATTGCTCCATACTAGAAGCCTCCCCATCCTGTCTTGCTTGCCTTGATTTACAAGTACAAGATTCTGAGATCAAAGCGAAAGAAGGACCGTTGTGCACAGTACCTGTCCAAGATTCTTGATGAACCTCTTCTTGCTGTGACACTTCAATCTATACAACACGCACATCTCGAGCATGGGGTCACCACAGCAACTACAACTGCAAAAGTATCCGTTTCACCTGCCGGAGGTTGATATTTGCATTCAGTGGAGAATTGCTCTGACAAATGCCAAAATAGATTGAATGCAACTAGTCATTGATGAAGTGAGCATCTTTGACGATTTCCGAGCAAATGCTAAGTGTGCAGCTGAAATGCGTTGACAGAACATCTCCAACCTTGGCTTTGCTTCTGCAAATGTTTAAAGTTCAAAGACCTTTGCTTCTGGATGAGGTGACCAAGAGTGACATTTCCGCTAAGTTGAAACATCTGCGGTGTGTCAAACACATCAAACAACAATCAAAACTGTACAAATGAAACTCACCGGTGAGTGCTTCTTGGAGCCTGACTCCAATACCAGCAGCTGACACCCAAGAGATAATCAAGGTCGAAGCCTTGGGGCTTTTCCTACGTCAGAACTCGTGCCAAGGGCCTTGAGAAGCCTTGAGAGGCTTTTCGGGTAGTTAAGTCCAAGCCCTGAGGTCCTTTAGGAACATTATATATAGTCAGTCGAATGCTGACGAACACAAATGCTCCAAACGACTTTATCGCAAACTTACGTGCTCTTGCAACAACTTAGGAAACTTATTTTGCCTGGGAGCAAGGACGCTAGTAGGGGCTCCTGGCTTTACTACTAGGAACAAGAAGCTACTAGGGGCTCCTGGCATCGCTACTAGGAGCAAGGACGCTACTAGTAGCTCCTTGCAAAATACAGCGATATTGCCAGGTAGTCGAACACATTTGTTTGTTTCTCTCCACGTTGTACCCACATCTTTTGGCCTCGCGCCAGTGCCTTGGGGCATCGCTGCCACCGCAAAGCGCTTCCCATCACCTCAATGTACTTAATCTTTGTATTTAATGATTCTCTTATTGTGTCTTCTCTTATTTGTGTTTCGTTGAACATCTTCATTCTCTCACATTGGCCTCTCACATACAGAATCTGCAAACATCAAAAGAGCTGGCCACCATGGAGACTGTGTCTTCGATTTCTGTAAATTTCAAGGCGTCATGGGTTCATTGCCTGATTGAAGGTTGGCACCGCCTATTTTAGTGCTTCTCGTGTTTCTTTAATTCCGACATACAAGTTCCCCCCCAACCCTTCCTATTCTCAAGCACTACTTAACAACTAAAGGGCCACTGGACTTCTTTTAACTTCTTATACCTGAGCTCTTTCATTATTGCGTGGCTAGCTTGGCATTCGTGCTTCTACCAGTTGGCTCATCTTCTTCTTTGGTTCCTACCTGCTGAACCAATATCACGCCTTAATGCCCTTTTTTCTCTCCCCGTCTCCTCATTTCGTCAGGGTCTCATTGGCTGTATTGCTCCAGGGGGGTGATATATTTCTTGGTGGACTCTTTAAGGTAATGTTTAATGATTCAGCTTCATCATACCATGGTATGATTTACACAAACGCTTTGTACATATAATCCAGGTATTTTCATAACAAGGTGTATTTTTGAATAAATAGATTCAGGACAAAGAAGGACCATCAGGCAATATTTAACATAATTTGATTTTTCCACCTGAGTAATTGTACTCAGAAACAAACAATTGCATGATAGGAGGCCTCTGGATAAGGTAGATCCCATCGATCAGGATAAGTCGTTATACATGTGGATACCCTCTTAAAAGGATTGGTTTTGCATAAAACAACAACACATAGAAAACACTGATAAGAAAACCATCATTACACGAACTGCCCCTTAAAGTTGCAATTGCTGCTACATCCCGGCTGTCAAGTTCCACATCAATGCTCTTGATTTCCTTTGTTGCGGAGATTTTGTGAGGTGCTTGGTAGATTATCCAGCACTTTCTGCAGTGTTTGCAGCTTGCAAACTCTGCAAAGCTCCATCTAGGACCTCACGCTCCTGCTGCAATCTGCGTCTCGATGAAGCAACTGGAACAAAGGAAGCCCCGAAAACAACTTTGACCTGAAGGTACTGGAAGGCAAACAAGCTTCAGATGAGCCTAGCCTGAATCATGGTGTACTGCATGTATCAAACACACAGTTGTAGAGAGCAACAAGTGAATCACAGGGCCCAAAGGCAACATTCTCTTCAGCTTATATCAGCTGGTGGTTGGATGTTGAATCTAATTAAATGCACTGTCAGACACATTCAGCTAAGGATTCTACAGCAAAAGCTTCATGGCTGAAGACTTCTCTGTAGTTCTGACATTCTAGGGCATCTCAGGTTTTTGCTGAAATAGCCAATATGTTTCGGCAGGCCCGGCATCAGCCACATTCCCAGCCTCAAACGATTACGCAGGCAAACCAATGGAGAGCATTATTGATTGAACAAATCACATCTTTGCGTCCTTTTTAAATCTCTCAAACAAGATGAAACAAAGTGAGAATGTAACCTTGCACTGATACGCACCCTAATGGCTTTCATGCTCGGAGCTGTGCTCGTAGCCAGGCGCCTGGTCTGTCCAGAATTGAAGAAGTGAACCCGAAAATGACAAGTCTACCCCAAATTTGCCAGCTTGTTTGTTTTGTATAGCAACAGGCAACGCTATTCCAGATCCAACGCAAACTTCTCTTTTGTGTTCCTCATCATCCCAAAAGTGGCTTGAACATCAACATCAACATCAACAGTTCTGAAAGTTTCAGTGGAGTGACACTTTTAAACATTTTGTACCTGTGAATATTTCATTGAAACATACAGGCCGGCAAACACAGTTAGAGACAATGCGTGACAAAACCTCTATGGCCGACTGCTCGACTGCTTGCTGCTTCTCTGACAAGTGTATCCCTCCCCCAACGCAAGTCAACCTTGAAAAACACAACAGAAAACCAAATGCACCACTTGATGACTAAAGTGGCATGCTTCTTCGAGGTTTTTGATCTTGCCATTGTCACCGAGGCATTTTTTTAACGCAGTGACGCTAGCCACTGACTTAGTTGTCGCTTGGCTGTTCAATAGACATCCATTTCAACAACAATCCTGCACTCAATCCTAAATCAAGCAAGGATTTGTTGTAAAATCGGTCCGTGCAGGAAAAGTCTGAAAATACTGCTTCCATCAGTCCTGGAGATGTGATCTTGCAGCCACGGTGCAACCAAAGAGAGCCCTAGGTCTGCAACAGCTAAATGTCTGAGCTGACCTTGGATCTGTGAACTCTGTGAACTCTTGTGCTTGCAAAGCCCTGTACTTTGTCAATGCCTAAGAACATATCACTTTTTCTGAGATATCATGACATCATTCCTATCCCAGCTTCATTTGACATATAGCAATGGATTTCTACCCATTTGTTTGAGGAAAATGGACTAGGGATCAGCTAGCAAACAATGCACCCCGGCGGAGCATCACTGGTAGTGCAATTTCTTCGCACTTCGATGGCCAGGTGACGTGTAAACAAATACGAGGGCTTCCATGCTGCGCGCAAAAGCCAACAAGAGCCAATGACCTGAGACAGTGCGATGCAAAGTGTTTCTGTGTTTCTTTTCTATAAACAAACATGCAATGTGTTTTAACATCAAAGGTTTGGCCTGATCTTTTTGAGTACTTTGTGCATCTGTTCACTAGCGTCAACAGTCAAACCATCTTGTTGGCTTGAGTGAAGACGCCCATAAAATGCTGTGCAGAACCTGACAGAGTGCTGAGGGTAAAACACTACAAAGAAGCGTAGCTAAACGCAATACCAGCCAAACATTCCAACCAAACCTGTCGCAAGCAAGTTCTTCGAGAATGGAGCTCTCGTATCATAGGTGCAACACAAGTTGTAAACACCTGCGAAACAAACATAATACCGTACGAGTCAAAGGAGCAGCAAGGACGCTGGCTAGTAGCTCCTGGCATTACACTACTAGTAACAAGAAGCTATTAGTAACAAAGGGCGCTACTAGGAGCAAAGGGCATCGCTACCAGTAACAAAGGGCATTACTACTAATAGCTTATAGTCATAGTCCGAATCGGCAAGTCGGGAAGCTCATGCCTAGGTGTTGCTGGGGACAGCATCCGGCCATGCACAAGGAATTCATCTAGGCACACGGCCCGTCGCTTTGCGTGTGAACATGTGAAGTTCTGACTTTGCAACTCTTAGTAACAAGAACGCTACTAGGGGCTCCTGGCATCGCTACTAGGAGCAAGGACGCTACTAGGGGCTCCTGGCCTTACTACTAGGAACAAGAACGCTACTAGGAGCAAAGGGCATCGCTACGAACGGAGCAAGGACTTAAGCTTCCAAAATACCTAGGAACAAAGGAGGTTCCTTGGGTGGGGCGAGCTTCCTGGCTACTAGATAGCTGCCTTCGGGGACCAAAAAGACCAAACCGACATATAAAGGGTATTGATACCTATATAATCCTTTGATCTTGATGCGGCTGAGGCCCCTGAGGTCTTCATCTAGTGACAAACCAAAAATAAGGGATCCGAGACTTTGGGAAAGCGTAACTTGTTTGCTCTTTTGGTGTCCCAGGTGTTCCGCTCATGGCATTCCAACAGACTTTTGGAAAGCACATTGTAGCCAGCGCTTTTGGACATGGCATCTTTCAATGACAAGCTTGATGGTCCAGCGAAGAGTTGACTGCTTTGACTGCCTCTTCCAAGTACATAAGCTTTTCCTAAACATCAGGGAACCAACTGAATAGTGCGAGCGCTTCTCCAAGGAATCTCCACCACCACCTTTACGGCGGCGAGCGGAGCTTCCGTGAACAAGCGTGAGCTGTCGTGCGGCCTAGCTAGTAGCGTCCAGTACCTAATAGCTACTATAGCTCACCCAGCATACCTCCTTAATTAAGTAGGCGCCTACTAGCGGCCTCCAACCTACTAGCGATACCCACTAGCGTCCAGTACCTACTAGCTACTAGTTTGCATCTTCAGCGGCTTGGCAAGCCGGCTTGCCAAAAAATGAACAACTCTTGGGCGCTGCTCACCACGTCACGCAGCGCTCTTTTTCTTACTTTTCGCTCATGGCCTCCTGCGCAGCTCTGCGTGCCTCTGTGGAATCCACGTATTTTCTGGACTCTTCTGTATTCGTTACACGTTCTTGTTCCTTCAAACATATATCATGGTGAAAACAAATATAACAAACTGAGAGTTTGGAGTACCTAGGAACACAAGCGCTGAGCGCGAGACTCGCTTCTCTTCCATGAGGATCTTTGCCTCTTCTCTTTCCTGCCTGCTACGCAAAAGATTCGAAGCCACCCGTGACTAAATGTGACCAATACGGTACGTGTGCGGAAAATGTATAGCAACTTCTTTACTTCATCTAAAGGGAGCCACAGGCCGAGACATGCCACAAGGTGCCACAAGGCGCAACCAGCCGGGTCGACTCTGCCAAATCTTGTCTCTTTTGACTGGCGCACAGGTGGCTGAAGCTTTTGTATCGCTTTACCCTATCAAAACTGGCTCAATGCCAAAGACTAATCTGGAAAGAGAGCGCTTTTTACACCACCACTTGGGATTTGAGCCAGGAGTCCTATGGCCCTATCGGGGTTATCTTTAAATCAGACTCAGATTAATCTTGTTGATTGTGAGGCAAGCATCATCCCAAACTCCATGCAAGACAGTGTTTCTGCATATAGCGGGCTTTGGTGATCGGAACGGTTTTCTGACGGAGTCCAAGTGCGCTCTAAGGGCCAAAAGGACATGTCGAAAGGCTGAAAGGTGCTGAAGCTACGAACGGGGCTCCTGGCCTTACTACTAGGAACAAAGGACGCTACAAGGAGCAAAGGGCATCGCTACTAGGAACAAAGGACGCTACTAGGGGCTCCTGGCATCGCTACTAGGAGCAAGGGACGCTACTATTAGCTTCTTGCTCCTAGTAGCGATGCCCTTGTTCCCAGTAGTAATGCTCCATGAAGCAAGCTTTTCCAGCAAATTCTGCTTGTTCCCAAGCTCAAATTCGTTGTGCCATCGAGGGATGACAGCTGGTAGCATTGAGATGTTCGGTTGCTAGGATTGCTCCAAGAATCTAGGATTCTTTTCTAGACGATTCATTTTTACTCTGGCCTTTCACTTAGCTTGACTGTAATCAAGGACCCAGCTTTCTGCAGACTCCTGCACTTCATGGTGATTGATTATGTTTGGAGTCTTCAGCTCGAGCTTCCAGATGCTTCAGCTCGAACTTGGAGATGTTTTTTTTGCGTCTTATCTACTCTCAGTTGCCTTACAGCCCCGGAGAATGTCACAGAAGGGATGGGAGCTCTGTCGGCTCTGTCGCCTATTTATTGTGGTGTGTTTTTTGTGGTCCCTCAGTTCTCAGTAGCGATAAGTTGCTCCAAGATGCTTTTGAGTTTCCTTGGCACATTTCGCCAACACGATTCAACAGGATGTTTTTCTCTTAGAGTGGGATAATGCCACGAGTCACGCTGAGAATCATAAACCTCGCAGCAAACACAAGCACGCAAGCTCAGGCCTGATGAGATACTGCAGAAACGCGATGCCAAGGATCAGGGTCGGAATCAGGGGGCTCTGGGCGCAGCGAGAACCGGCCAAGTTGCTGCCGCAGTTGTCTCAAAGCGTCTTGGATTTGTTGCTGCAAAAACATGTTTCAAATGATTTCTGGGTTCCACACTCGGAAGTCCCAATTGCGCTCGGGAACCTGTGACGCTAAAAGAATGTGGATCCGCTGCTCAGTGTACATCAAATTACAGCTGTACAGTCATGGATGAACGTGCTCCAAGTGCATGGCCAGTATGTCCCAGAGCTGTTGGCTCTTCTTGGCCTCTCGAATGAGGTCTCAGTGTAGGGAATGCATTGAAATGCAACAACGCACCCCGTCAGGGCCTGCTCTGACTCTGAAGACTTTGCCCGAATGCACCTTGAGAAGCCGGAACAGTCACTGAAGGTCTTTGACTATCGATTGGCTGTCCATTGATGAGCAAATCATCGCTAAATCACCGGAGACTCCATCGCAAGAGTGGCACCTCGACCAAGTACTTGGAGGCCGTGAGAGCAGCCTGCAGCGTGATGCATGTCAATGGATGTTGTTGGTTACGCCAATGTGCCTCCAACCTGATAGCGATGGCCTCTAACCTAGTAGTGATGGCCTCCAACCTAATAATCTAATAGCAACGGCCTCCAACCTACCATCTAA